CTGGATGTCGATGGTCCCCGTGCTGCCATGTCGATGGTCCCCCCGCGCTGGATGTCGATGGTCCCCGCGCTGGATGTCGATGGTCCCCACGCTGCCATGTCGATGGTCCCCGCGCTGCCATGTCGATGGTCCCCCCGCGCTGCCATGTCGATGGTCCCCGCGCTGGATGTCGATGGGTCCCCACGCTGCCATGTCGATGGTCCCCGCGCGCTGCCATGTCGATGGTCCCCATGCTGGATGTCGATGGTCCCCGCGCTGCCATGTCGATGGTCCCCGCGCTGCCATGTCGATGGTCCCCGCGCTGCCATGTCGATGGTCCCCGCGCTGGATGTCGATGGTCCCCCGTGCTGCCATGTCGATGGTCCCCGCAACTGCCATGTCGATGGTCCCCGCCGCTGGATGTCGATGGTCCCCACGCTGCCATGTCGATGGTCCCCGCGCTGGATGTCGATGGTCCCCGCGATGGATGTCGATGGTCCCCGCGCTGGATGTCGATGGTCCCCCGCGCTGCCATGTCGATGGTCCCCGTGCTGCCATGTCGATGGTCCCCGTGCTGCCATGTCGATGGTCCCCGCGCTGCCATGTCGATGGTCCCCGCGATGGATGTCGATGGTCCCCGCGCTGGATGTCGATGGTCCCCCCCGCGCTGCCATGTCGATGGTCCCCGCGCTGCCATGTCGATGGTCCCCCCCGCGCTGCCATGTCGATGGTCCCCCGTGCTGGATGTCGATGGTCCCCCCCGCGCTGCCATGTCGATGGTCCCCCGCGCTGCCATGTCGATGGTCCCCGTGCTGGATGTCGATGGTCCCCGCGCTGCCATGTCGATGGTCCCCCCGCGCTGCCATGTCGATGGTCCCCCCGCTCTGCCATGTCGATGGTCCCCGCGCTGCCATGTCGATGGTCCCCCCCCCGCGCTGCCATGTCGATGGTCCCCGTGCTGGATGTCGATGGTCCCCCGCGCTGCCATGTCGATGGTCCCCGCGCTGCCATGTCGATGGTCCCCGTGCTGGATGTCGATGGTCCCCCGTGCTGGATGTCGATGGTCCCCGCGCTGCCATGTCGATGGTCCCCGTGCTGGATGTCGATGGTCCCCGCGCTGCCATGTCGATGGTCCCCGTGCTGCCATGTCGATGGTCCCCCCCCGCTGCTGGATGTCGATGGTCCCCGCGCTGCCATGTCGATGGTCCCCCGCGCTGCCATGTCGATGGTCCCCGCGCTGCGATGTCGATGGTCCCCCGCGCTGCCATGTCGATGGTCCCCCGCGCTGCCATGTCGATGGTCCCCGCGCTGCCATGTCGATGGTCCCCCGCGCTGCCATGTCGATGGTCCCCGCGCTGCCATGTCGATGGTCCCCGTGCTGGATGTCGATGGTCCCCCCGCGCTGCCATGTCGATGGTCCCCGTGCTGGATGTCGATGGTCCCCCCGCGCTGCCATGTCGATGGTCCCCGTGCTGCCATGTCGATGGTCCCCCGCGCTGGATGTCGATGGTCCCCCGCGCTGCCATGTTGATGGTCCCCCGCGCGCTGCCATGTCGATGGTCCCCGTGCTGGATGTCGATGGTCACCCCGCGCTGCCATGTCGATGGTCCCCCGCGCTGCCATGTCGATGGTCCCCGCGCTGCCATGTCGATGGTCCCCGTGCTGGATGTCGATGGTCCCCGTGCTGCCATGTCGATGGTCCCCCGTGCTGCCATGTCGATGGTCCCCGCGCTGCCATGTCGTCGATGGTCCCCGCGCTGGATGTCGATGGTCCCCGTGCTGGATGTCGATGGTCCCCGCGCTGCCATGTCGATGGTCCCCGCTCTGCCATGTCGATGGTCCCCGCGCTGCCATGTCGATGGTCCCCGTGCTGGATGTCGATGGTCCCCCGCGCTGCCATGTCGATGGTCCCCGTGCTGGATGTCGATGGTCCCCGCGCTGCCATGTCGATGGTCCCCGTGCTGCCATGTCGATGGTCCCCGCGCTGGATGTCGATGGTCCCCGCGCTGCCATGTCGATGGTCCCCGTGCTGCGATGTCGATGGTCCCCGCGCTGCCATGTCGATGGTCCCCGTGCTGGATGTCGATGGTCCCCGTGCTGGATGTCGATGGTCCCCCGCGCTGCCATGTCGATGGTCCCCGCGCTGCCATGTCGATGGTCCCCCGCGCTGCCATGTCGATGGTCCCCGCGCTGCCATGTCGATGGTCCCCGCGCTGCCATGTTGATGGTCCCTGCGCTGCCATGTCAATGGTCCCCGCGCTGGATGTCGATGGTCCCCGCTCTGCCATGTCGATGGTCCCTGCGCTGGATGTCGATGGTCCCCCGCTCTGCCATGTCGATGGTCCCCGCTCTGCCATGTGGATGGTCCCCCCGCGCTGCGATGTCGATGGTCCCCGCTCTGCCATGTCGATGGTCCCCGCTCTGCCATGTCGATGGTCCCCCGCGCGCTGCCATGTCGATGGTCCCCGCGCTGCCATGTCGATGGTCCCCCCGCGATGCCATGTCGATGGTCCCCGCTCTGCCATTTCGATGGTCCCCGCTCTCTGCCATGTGGATGGTCCCCGCTCTGCCATGTCGATGGTCCCCGCTCTGCCATGTCGATGGTCCCCGCTCTGCCATGTCGATGGTCCCCCCCGCGCTGCCATGTCGATGGTCCCCGCTCTGCCATGTCGATGGTCCCCCGCGCTGCCATGTCGATGGTCCCCCGCGCTGCCATGTGGATGGTCCCCGCGCTGCCATGTCGATGGTCCCCGCGCTGACATGTCGATGGTCCCCCGCGCTGCCTTCGCTCATCCTGCTCTGGAAGATGCAAAAAGACGACGAAGAATTGGGGAGAGCGAAGATCAGAATGTCTCCTGATGACAAGAGTCCCCCAAACCAGAGAACATGGAGATCCTTCACATGTATGTTCCCGAATCTGCGGAGACGTCCCGTGATCTCATCCCCAACTGACAACACGGAATTCCGGGGAACGCTCCAGTCATACGGGAACCACTTACTTCTGTCAGGGAAGTCTGAACGATTCATGGAGTCAGTTATATCGATCGTTTCATCAGTCGATGGACAACAAAGATAATTCATCCAAAATAATTCATCGAATGAATCCCGAGATACTTTGTCCAATGCAGATACGGGAGGGGGAGGAGTCTGTACTCCCCAAATATGAGGGAGGAGTCTGAACTCCCCGAATATGAGGGAGGAGTCTGAACACCCCGCATGTGAGGGAGGAGTCTGAACACCCCAAATATGAGGGAGGAGTCTGAACACCCCGAATATGAGGGAGGAGTCTGAACTCCCCGAATATGAGGGAGGAGTCTGAACACCCCGCATGTGAGGGAGGAGTCTGAACACCCCGCATGTGAGGGAGGAGTCTGAACACCCCAAATATGAGGGAGGAGTCTGAACTCCCCGAATATGAGGGAGGAGTCTGAACACCCCGCATGTGAGGGAGGAGTCTGGACACCCCGCATGTGAGGGAGGAGTCTGAACACCCCAAATATGAGGGAGGAGTCTGAACACCCCGCATGTGAGGGAGGAGTCTGAACACCCCAAATATGAGGGAGGAGTCTGAACTCCCCAAATATGAGGGAGGAGTCTAAACTTCCCAAATATGAGGGAGGAGTCTAAACTCCCCAAATATGAGGGAGGAGTCTGAACTCCCCAAATATGAGGGAGGAGTCTGAACACCACAAATACGAGGGAGGAGTCTGAACTCCCCAAATATGAGGGAGGAGTCTGAACTCCCCAAATATGAGGGAGGAGTCTGAACACCCCAAATATGAGTGGGGGAGTCTGAACACCCCGCGTGTGAGGGAGGGAGTCTGAACACCCCAAATATGAGGGAGGAGTCTGAACACCCCAAATATGAGGGAGGAGTCTGAACACCCCAAATATGAGGGAGGAGTCTGAACACCCCAAATATGAGTGGGGGAGTCTGAACACCCCAAATATGAGGGGGAGACTGAACAACCCACATGAGATGGAGGGAATCTGAACACCCCGCATGTGAAGGATGAGTCTGAACACCCCAAATATGAGGGCGGAGTCTGAACACCACAAATATGAGGGAGGGGTTAGAACATCCTAAATATTAGGGAGGGGGAATCTGAACACCTCATTTATGAGGGAGGGAGTCTGAACACCCCAAATATGAGGGAGTCTGAACACCCCACATGTGAGGGAGGGAGTCTGAACACCCCACATGTGAGGGAGGGAGTCTGAACACCCCACATGTGAGGGAGGGAGTCTGAACACCCCACATGTGAGGGAGGGAGTCTGAACACCCCAAATATGAGAGAGTCTGAGCACCCCAAATACGAGGGAGGGAGTCAGGCAACACCAAGCTCCACTCTCATTTTGGGGTACACGGAGAATCTCATGGGGTCTTGGTGGTGAGGAGAATTCAGATCCAGATATTTGGACCAATTATAACAAAGTGACAGGTTCTCTTCATAGGTTTCCTCCTGATACTGACTCTGTTCTCTGATTGGTGGAAAGTTGTCTTCAATCACTACAAAGAGCGCCTGGCATGAGGCATGAAGGTCATTCAGCAGAAGCAATGAATGAAGTGCCCCGAGGTTGGGATATGAGATATTAGTGTGTGTAGCTGTGCCCTCCTGGGGAGGGAGAGATGGTGATGGGGGAGGGGAGGGGGGGGGGGAGGGGTGTTATGATCATTTTATCCAAATATTATACACAGATCATCCATAGACAGAACGGTGCCCATTGTTCACGCCAAGACCATTGCAACTGCAGAAGGAGCACTCTGAGCCCAGAGGAATAAAGATTATCCTCCTTCTATAGAAGGGATTCCTTTCAGTAAAAGCTGTGAAAATGTAGAATTCCTCGTAGGAGAGTTCTGGCCAAGTCTGTAGAGTCATTCTGAACACACAGAATAGAAAAGGTTCTTCATATTTGATGATGTTGATCCGGGGAGTCATAGGAAGGAATTTCTCCCCATTGGAGCAGATTGTTCCATGCCCTATGAGGGTCATTTCTCTTCCTCACGTTGACTTGTGTCCAGGGGCGGACTGACCATTTGGAAACTTGGGCACTGCCCGAGGGCCCGGGGTCAGTAGGGGGCCCCATGAGATGCCCCTGGTACCTTTTTCATAGGCTCTTTTGAGTTTGGGCAAGGACACAGGGGCCCCATGATCCCCTATTGCCTGGGGGCCCCATGAGTTGTCAGTCCGCCCCTGCTTGTGTGTTTGGAGTTCTGAGGGTGCAAAATTATCATTGAATCTGGGATGTGATGGCCAGCTAAGGTCCAAAGTGTTCAGTCCTAAAGGATGGCCTGTGGCCCCTGGTGCAGCTCCAGGTCTCCACCTGAAAATAAAGGAGGGAGGTGGGAGAGACCTTATGGTGGAGTTCATGAGTTCAAAATACGATGATTGGCTCATAATAGGAAAAAAGAAAATGTGGGAATCTTATGTCTGTTGTGGTCACCATAGGTGGTGGGAACACCCAACCTTCACACGTGGAGGAAAACCTGTTTCCATGTAAGATGGGGGTCATCACTCTCAATGGCAAAACAAGGAAATTCGATGTTCATTGAACCAGATGACTCCAGCCTATTCTCAGACACGTGACCACAGGCACCTTGCTGGTTGGACCACAGGCTCCTTGCTGGTTGGACCACAGGCACCTTGCTGGTTGGACCACTGATGGGCTGTTTCCACTCATTCAGATCCCACAGATTTTTGCTTTTCTTATTTTTGTTCTTTTTGTTGAACTTGATAAATTTTTTTTCGAGTTCAATGTTTTTAATGAATTTTTTATATCGAGCAAACAATCCGCGTTGTGTATACAGAAAAAGAACGAGCGAACGGCAGTGAGCAACATTCTCATCAATATACGTTCAATCCACACAACAGGACAAAGGAGAAGGATGTGATGGAACCTCTGGAGCACCCCCTGGACCAGTTTATTAGAGATCGAGTCAGAAGATCTCAGTACTACATAACACAACGCATGTATGAACAGGACAGACCCAAATGGTCAGCCAGGAAAGAACCGTGTGAGGAGAAGGCCAAGAGAATAGGGGGCAAAAAGAGGGAATACGGAGAAAAGCCCATAGTAGAGGAGAAAGAGCAGGAGGGGGAGAAGGGTAGGGAAGGGAGACCTGGCACGGGGATCCTCTCATGAGGAGGCAGTAAGAGAGGAAGGGCAAAGGGGTCAAATGTCACAAAAGGAGGTGGAGGTGGTGATAGGCAACCCAAGGGTCCCAGATCTTCTTGAACTTTTTGTGAGGGTGCAAGTCTGATGTTCATTGATCTAGAAGCCATCTAGTCTGGTTTCGATTTTGTAGAAGCCGGTGAACTGCTTCTTCCAAGCTTTGGCAATGGAAGCTCGGAGTATGAAATGGGCCATTGAAAATGGATTTTTTAGTGGGGATTTGTAGGTTCACAATGTGGGGGGGGGGGGGGGGGGGCATGGGTCTCTGGATAAATGAACCACAAAAAGTTTAGAAAAGAAGGCAAACACTTTGGACCTAAAGCAACCTAGTATTTGGCAGGCCCACCATGTATGGAGGACATCTCCTGCTGTAACTCCTAAAGCATGTAGCAGAATGTCCGGGGATCATGTGAGCGAGTCTGGTTGGTGTCATTTACCACCTGGTGAGGATATCCGGGGATCATGTGAGCGAGTCTGGTTGGTGTCATTTACCACCTGGTGAGGATATCCGGGGATCATGTGAGCCATCATGTCTGGTTGGTGTCATTTACCACCTGGTGAGGATATCCGGGGATCATGTGAGCCATCATGTCTGGTTGGTGTCATGTAGCACCTGGTGAGGATATCCGGGGATCATGTGGGCCATCATGTCTGGTTGGTATCATGTAGCACCTGGTGAGGATATCCGGGGATCATGTGAGCCATCATGTCTGGTTGGTGTCATTTACCACCTGGTGAGGATATCCGGGGATCATGTGGGCCATCATGTCTGGTTGGTATCATGTAGCACCTGGTGAGGATATCCGGGGATCATGTGGGCCATCATGTCTGGTTGGTGTCATTTACCACCTGGTGAGGATATCCGGGGATCATGTGAGCCATCATGTCTGGTTGTGTCATTTATCATGTAGCACCTGGTGAGGATATCCGGGGATCATGTGAGCCATCATGTCTGGTTGGTATCATGTAGCACCCGGTGAGGATATCCGGGGATCATGTATCCGGGGGAGCCATCATGTCTGGTTGGTGTCATTTACCACCCTGGTGAGGATATCCGGGGATCATGTGAGCCATCATGTCTGGTTGGTATCATGTAGCACCCGGTGAGGATATCCGGGGATCATGGGATCATGTGAGGCCATCATCATGTCTGGTTGGTATCATGTAGCACCCGGTGAGGATATCCGGGGATCATGTGAGCCATCATGTCTGGTTGGGTATCATGTAGCACCCTGGTGAGGATATCCGGGGATCATGTGAGCCATCATGTCTGGTTGGGTATCATGTAGCACCTGGTGAGGATATCCGGGGATCATGTGAGCCATCATGTCTGGTTGGTATCATGTAGCACCCGGTGAGGATATCCGGGGATCAGTATCATGTAGCACCCGGTGAGGATATCCGGGGATCATGTGAGCCATCATGTCTGGTTGGGTCAATGTGGTGAGGATATCCGGGGATCATGTGAGCCATCATGTCTGGTTGTATCATAGCACACCGGTGAGGATATCCATGTCTGGTTGGGGAGCACCGGTGAGGATATCCGGGGATCATGTGAGCCATCATGTCTGGTTGGTATCATGTAGGCACCCTGGTGAGGATATGTAGCACCGGTGGGATATCCGGGGATCATGTGAGCCATCATGTCTGGTTGGTATCATGTAGCACCCGGGTGAGGATATCCGGGGATCATGTGAGCCATCATGTCTGGTTGGTATCATGTAGCACCCCGGTGAGGATCGGGATCCATGTGAGCCATCATGTCTTGGTATCATGTAGCACCCGGTGAGGACTGAGCCCGACTTGATCAAACATTTTGTTTTCAGCCTAACTATGTAAAATGGCATTTTAGAGAAAATCTTCGAAGATCTAGTCCATGCTGTCTGGTGGAGGACACTCTCTTCATAGGACTCAGGACTCCATGAGGGCCGTATGTCACAGCCAGGGGCGACTGACCATTTGGAAACTCGGGCACTGCCGAGGGCCCGGAGTCAGTAGGGGGCCCCATGAGATGCCCCTGGTACCTTTTTCATAGGCTTTTTTCAGTTTTGTACAAGGACACAGGGGCCCCATGATCCCCTATTGCCCGGGGGGCCCCATGAGTTGTCAGTCCACCCCTGGTCACAGCTTACACAATTGGTGTAGTGGGCAGAATACGGACCTGCTGAGATACACCCCCCGCCCCCCCCCGGGTGTCCTCTTTGGGTGTGGAGGGACCAGTTGGGTCGGCTTTATTCCCCAATCCTCATCACAGCTGCTCCCTCCCCCACCCTCCCGATATTCCGCCTCCATAGTGAACTCCGACTTCTCTGCTGCAGATTTAGTATTTTCCTGCAATTTCCTTTTTATTTCTTTTATTGTTTTTATCTGGTGCATCTATGTAGTACCCGTGGAGATATCCGGCACCTTTGCTCCAATCATGACTGCCTAGAGATATGAGACGCCCCCATCATGGTTGCCTGGAGATATGAGACGCCCCCATCATGACTGCCTGGAGATATGAGGCGCCCCCATCATGGTTGCCTGGAGATATGAGATGCCCCCATCCATGGCTGCCTGGAGATATGAGGCGCTCCCATCATGGCTGCCTGGAGATATGAGGCGTTCCCATCATGGCTGCCTGGAGATATGGAGATGGCGCCCCCATCATGGTTGCCTGGAGATATGAGACATCCCCATCATGGCTGCCTGGAGATACGAGGCGCCCCCATCATGGTTGCCTGGAGATATGAGATGCCCCCATCATGGCTGCCTGGAGATATGAGGCGCTCCCATCATGGCTGCCTGGAGATATGAGACGCCCCCATCATGGCTGCCTGGAGATATGAGATGCCATCCCCATCATGGCTGCCTGGAGATACGAGGCGCTCCCATCATGGTTGCCTGGAGATACGAGGCGCTCCCATCATGGTTGCCTGGAGATATGAGACGCCCCCATCATGGCTGCCTGGAGATATGAGGTGCCCCCATCATGGCTGCCTGGAGATATGAGACGCCCCCATCGTGGCTGCCTGGAGATACGAGGCGCTCCCATCATGGCTGCCTGGAGATACAAGACACCCCCCATCATGGCTGCCTGGAGATATGAGGAGCTCCCATCATGGCTGCCTGGAGATATGAGATGCCCCCATCAAGGTTGCCTGGAGATATGAGGCCCCCATCATGGTTTGCCTGGAGATATGAGACATCCCCATCATGGCTGCCTGGAGATATGAGACGCCCCCATCATGGCTGCCTGGAGATATGAGACGCCCCCATCATGGCTGCCTGGAGATATGAGACGCCCCCATCATGGCTGCCTGGAGATATGAGACGCCCCCATCATGGCTGCCTGGAGATATGAGAGGCGCCCCCATCATGGTTGCCTGGAGATATGAGACATCCCCATCATGGCTGCCTGGAGATATGAGGCGCCCCCATCATGGTTGCCTGGAGATATGAGATGCCCCCATCATGGTTGCCTGGAGATATGAGGCGCTCCCATCATGGCTGCCTGGAGATATGAGACGCCCCCATCATGGCTGCCTGGAGATATGAGATGCCACCATCATGGCTGCCTGGAGATATGAGACATCCCCATCATGGCTGCCTGGAGATATGAGGCGCCCCCATCATTGTTGCCTGGAGATATGAGATGCCCCCATCATGGTTGCCTGGAGATACGAGGGCAATCCCATCATGGCTGCCTGGAGATACAAGACGCCCCCATCATGGCTGCCTGGAGATACGAGGCGCTCCCATCATGGTTGCCTGGAGATCATGATGAGACATCCCCATCATGGCTGCCTGGAGATATGAGGAGCCCCCATCGTATGGCTGCCTGGAGATACGAGGCGCTCCCATCATGGCTGCCTGGAGATATGAGACACCCCCATCATGGCTGCCTGGAGATATGAGGAGCTCCCATCATGGTTGCCTGGAGATATGAGACGCCCCCATCATGGCTGCCTGGAGATACGAGGCGCCCCCATCATGGTTGCCTGGAGATATGAGGCGCTCCCATCATGGCTGCCTGGAGATATGAGGCGCTCCCATCATGGTTGCCT